TATAAGACATAACAATACATTATGAATATAGTAATTTATATATTAACAATATATTAATGGTATAGTAGTTAATTATATGTTTGTGTGTGTGTATAAATATACACAGACATATATAGGTAACTACATGCTTCCTAGGAATTAATTTTAAACATGCTGCTTAAAAAAACTTAAGACTTGCCTTTGTAGCCTTATGCCCTTCCTTTTGGATACCATCCCAAGATATAATGGTCTCTCTAGGCTACAGCCTTGCTCGTAAGCAGCAAGACCTGAATGACTAGGCATCATGCTTGTAGGAGAGAATGATAGATACATAGAAAAGAATGGAAATATGTTTCCTCATTTTTCTTCATGATGATATTCACAGTAACAGTGGGAAAGGGGAAGAAATGAACTAGAGGAATGAGGAAACATGTCTGAAACAAAAAGAAGAAGAATGTGCTACAAAAAAGAGAATGGAAGATAAATGTGTAGGTTATAATGCTAATAAGTAGTTTAAAAGATAGCAACCTTTCTGAAGGGTCAGTTAAGCTCTAAGATTTCATCACTAATTAATTCTTGCTAAATGGTATTTTGATCAAGTTGAAAAATGGCTTTATACAGCCCAAATAAATCATTTTTATGGGAATATTTTGCTAAACTGGTTGAAGTTTTTAAACCCTGTAAAAGAGCACATACTTTATGCAAACAAACATTTTAAATTTTATTTTGTAGGTACTCAGTACTGCTTGACAGTTCATCTCTTCACAGACCATGGGAAGAGTACATCAGTCACCAAAAAATGTGCTACTGGAGAAGAATGCCATTTTGTAGGCTGCCACCATCACAGAGAAAGTGGTCACACAGTAAGCACTACTCTTTGTATAAGAGCAGCACATTGGTTTTGAGGTTTGCATTTCAGCACTTGTTTTTCCTGCTGAGTTGAAGAGGAAGTGCCAAGATACACTCTCTGGTATTTAACAGTCGAAATCAAATTTCTGCAACAGAAGCATGACCGCCCTTACTTTCTTAGTTGTGCTGCTGTGTGACAGGATAACAACTTCTAAAGAAGCACCTCAGCTTTCTGGGGCATCGCTAGTGCGTGCGTGGGCCTCGGTTTCTGAGTTGTGAGTAGGGTGCCCGGGTAGGCTACGTGACCTGCGCCGATGCTTGTGGTGCAGCAGCTGTGTCACTGCCAGCCCTTGGGCAAGCCAGACTGGGAGTTAGGTACTCCAGTCGTGTCTCTGCGTAACGTAGCTTGGATAACACTGCACGGTACGCAAAGCGAGACTCTATTTGTCCACGAAGGCCATGCTCTTAAGCAAGATACAACTGAGTTTATGTTCCATGACAAAAAGCTAGAACTGCTGCCTTCTCGCATCCTTGAGATGCTAGGTAAAATGTATTCTTAATAATCAAGCATATCCCACCAACGTATTATTCGCTGCAGTAAAGTATTATCCACTAATTCCTTAATAGTTGAGAAGGTTAGATTATTAATATTAGGTTATTATTTTTAACATGAAAGATTTCTGACACCAAAGGTGAAGCAGACTACATCCATGTTAAATATAAAAGAGTCTGTATGTTAACTGAATTGACTTCCATTGATTTCAACAGGTTTTGGTGGACTGAGGGCATGCAATGACGATGCAGCCTGCCTTCTGCTGCATTTTGTCTTAAAAGAGTTCTTGTGCCTTTGGATTAGATAAAAATTGGCATTCTCTTGGCTTTGCTAGTAAGGAGTGTCAAGTAAGGAAAATTATTTTCAGATTCCATTCTGAAAATCAGCTGTGTCAGTGGTTCTGTGGCACGAGAAAACTGAAAAAAGAAAGTCTGAAGTTCAGCATGCAAAGCTACACTGAATACAGAAGCTCGAGGAGAAAAATGAATGGGAACAGAGTTTTTACAGTCAGAATTTTTTAGCTTAGAAAGCTGAAAATTGAAACATTCAAATGCATGTTTTTAGCTCATGTGTTAGAAGGGGAAAGTGGTGGAAAGCTTTCTCCATTTTCTACAGCGTTAGTGAACTTGTCGGTACCACTAACATGGCTGCATTACATCACGTCACAGTTTCAAAGCCCAGTGACAGCACTAAGTGATGAGTTACTCTAGCAAGGCTGGGTTGCATGATTTGGAGGAGAAGCTGTAGCATATATGCTCCATCTGCTGCCTTGGGTCAGGCTGCCGGGTGGAAGCCATGAGTCTGTTTAGCTGTAACCTTTGCAACCAGTTGAAAGAACATATATCTCTAAAAGCCACTGCTGAATTACCTCATGTCCAGTGATCTCCTTTTTCTCAACAGGAGTGTGTTTCTTGCTGTGAAGGCATGATTTGCAATGTAGAAATACCAACCAATCACACAAATGCAGTATTCGCTGTATTGCATGCCCGGAGAACGTCAGATGGCAGCAGGGGGACGGTCAACATTGCAGTGCTCGTATCAGTCATGATGATCGCGTTGTCGTGATGCAGCATCCTCCCGTTATATCTGCTTGAGAGGATCCACCTGTAAGAAGATTGTTTCAGTATGTGCAAGGAGAAATCACTGATAACTTCTTAATTACAGCAAATGTAAGGGGACAGAGGAAAGACAAGTGTACATCATGAGGTCCTTGGATGTTTTAGTGAAGATACTTCCTATGGCCTGCAGTATTCAAAAACATAAGAGCAACACAACAACCCACTGGTTGACTAGGCAGTGAGGTGAACTCAAGTTGTTATTTTATGATGAAAATGCACATATGCTTAGCATGTTTTTTTGAACAGAGACAAGTGTCTGTAGACAATCACATTCCAGGTGAGCTAAAAAGGAACTTTTGATGGACTGTGTGCCAACAGGTATCTCAATGGAAACTGTTTTTAAACTGTTTTTCGTTGTGCATAAGTAACACAGTTTCTTTTCTTGATGTATTTAAGCGTATCTTTAGTTTATGGTTTTCATAGAGAACATGTATGGTTTTCATAGAGAACATGTATCAGAGAATTTTTTTTCTGTTTTGGTAAGAGCTATCATTTCTACTGGAAATAATACAAAATAATATATCTTTCTTTTCTGTAAAATGTTGTCTCACACTCAGATTTTAGAACAGTGTGAAATTATGTACAATTTCTGTCTAAAAATGATGAATTGTTTGAGCATGTAAGTCAGAATTCCTTTCCCCTCTGCCCTTAAAAGGGATTCTTTTCTTGCAGTAGAGCCTCACCTCTGATGAATCTTTGTCTTTGTGAGAGTGATCAAAGGGGTGGTAATACCATGACGTTAAAATTGCAGCTACAGTCAAGCAGCTGTGTTATCATAAAAATTGTAAGTGGGCACTTGGTATAAGTAAGGAGAGAAGTCTACGGTGTTCTCTCTTGATTTGCAGAAGTTTCTCCCAGAAATATTATTGTCCTTGATGGATCTTCAACTTGTAATTCAGCACTGTTGGATATCCCAGACGTCTGGACACCCCCATTTGAAAAGTTTGGGCCAAGATTCTATTCTTCATTACAATGTTGGGGATTTAATGTGGTTTATTTGTGTAGTTTGACTATTTGACTCCTTATAATTTAGACTTTAGCTGTTCATCAAGTAGATGAACAGCTGCAAATTTGACAAATAATAGAGTTTAGATTACAGTTAGGTGTACTAAAACCTTCTTCCTTTGCCTTTGTAAACCTTGTGATGCAGACCAGCGTAAGGAAGCTGCTTGTGTCGACTTTCGTCCCTGCTAGCACAGAGCAGTGCTTTCCAGAGCTCTGACAGGTCGAGCTGTTACAGACTGGCTGAAACACAGCCGTTACTAGGTCAGACTCACAGTGTCTGCGCTGGTTACTTCGTTAATGCGAATGTTCTTTGTGCTCCAAGCGCCCTGATTGTAGAGACAGCAGGTACTGATGTTACGTGACTTCTCAGTGTGGTTTTATGTGATCCGAAATCCAAACAAATTTCAGCTGCTCCTGTTTGCCCAATTGTGTTTCTTCCAACTCCCCACCATTTTCATAAACTTTCTCGGACAACCTAAGGTGTTGCAGCACAGATAAGGATTTGACCTAGCCAGGTTGAAGAATTGCATTTCACTTTTTTCTTTTTCTAAACTATTTTATTAATTTATGAGTATACTGATACGATTGTGAATAAGACAGAGCTTTTTCTAGTGGCTTTTTCTCATCTTAATCATAATTTTAACCATCACGTTTATCTGCTGAAATATTTTTCAGGGAGGATGGATCATTAAAACTTACTCTTAGGAAGAGATTCAAAACTGTTATCTGAAAAATTCAAGTAACTGTAAATTGGGATTTTTTAACATAAATATTGTCTTAATTATTTGCTATTTTACATCACTAAATGTATTTAGACTAGCAGTTAAAAACAGATTTTGAAATGTTTTCAGTTTTGTTTACATTCTAAAATTGCCTATTTTTACAATATTTTTACAATACATGAATATGTCTAAAAGTTGGTCTGTGATTTGTTGACAGTCAACTGCATAGTTACAAAAATTGGATGGAAACACTTTTTCTTTGCCAATGCCAAATAGTTCTTGCCAGCTAAGTCAAGGTTTGCCTTGCTCTGGGTTCTGGTGACCATCGCTGTGCTGTCCAACAGGCCAAGATGCTGAGGATGTTTTGAGGAAATTTTTACTCTGTTCAGTGGTCATCGCTAAGTAACATATTTATAGCATTAATCTTGGCTCAGACGCAGTGATGAGCACATTAGCTGTTTTTCATCATTAAACATGAACTTTTTGCTACGTGATCTATGGGGTACTTGGAACCTTTATTTCTTGTGGGAAAATCATTCCAGGTTTGCTCTCTGCTCACCGGGGAATTCCTTAATAAAGTGAAAGCAAGTTGTCTTCCACGGTTTGGGTCATGGTATCTTTCCTGGTTTTGCCTCTAAGCACTAGGTGCTCCCGTAATTCAGTTTCTGGGAATAATTATTGCGATCTTAACAAAGCCTTAAAGTGGCCTATAGTCTTATATGAGTTTACTGTAAATAATTTACAATAATCTAAGCGCTGACATTTGTTTACACTGCAAATGCCGTTCCAGAGCATTTGGGAAGTGCCAGGGAGACCCTGGAGAGCTGCCCAGAGCGGGGGCTCCGGCGCGGAGGATATGGGCTGCAGGTTCTCTGCAACTGCCGAAAGACCTTTTGGGAGGGGAGGTCTGTGTGCGTTTGTTTTTCTTGGTTGAACTCCATTTTTTTTTCCTGTTTGCTACACTGAAAAGTTAAGAAATCTGCTCATAATTTAAATACTTAATGCATTTGGTAAAGGATTGTTTTGAATAAGAAAAAAAAAATTGAAGAATTCCACTGAAGCGCCAAAATAGTATGCTTGACTTTAGTTGTCGTCTTCTTAACATTAAGGATAAAGACAGCAACCTGGGTATATGACAGGATTTCGTGTTGCCAAAGGTTTATTTTTTAGCATAATAGAATTCCTATAGCGGAGGATATTAAGGACGAGTTCTAGTCGTCTTGATATGTCAATACCTTTGTTATTGCGAAGTTTAGGACTATTGTGTCTAGAAAAATGAATATGCAAAAGTTGTTAATGCAATGTTAATGCTGCACAAATAGGCACTTGCCTGAAGAAATACGGAATTTAAGAGTGAATATCCATTTTAAACTTTGCTGCTTTTTATGTTTGTAAAAACCTGTATGCTTCTGCTTACACTTTATTTTAGGCCAATGCTAAATGCTAGCTTTGTAGGAAAAGCAGTATGTCCTGTTTATTAGAGAAAATAGTGCTAAAATTCCCCAGAGTGCATATTTTTGGCATGACTAATGATTGACTGCGTAGGCAATCTTAACGTTAATTTATCGTAGAATGTTTATATTTTATTAAATAGATTCAAGTATCAGCTATGTTTTTCCTTCAGTCTGAAGAAGTACTTCTGTCTGAAGTACTCGCTGAGGAACTTACAAGAGTATTGTCTGCTTTGAGAAAAATAACCCCCGGGCGCTCCGTAACGCGTGCATTTCATGCATCCCAATTCTGGTTCACAGATTTTGTAACTTAAAGACGTGTGACTTGTTAACGCCTAAATCAGCCACGCAACTTTGCACATGACGCTTCTGTAAATGCGCATCCATAACTTTACCCGCAGACGAGAAATGTCTTTGCTGATACTTCTGTGTACCTCCGGCTTCCACCAATAACGTGTTAAATAAAGCGGGGCAGGAGTTCATCTCCAGAGGCAGCAGGCGCTGGGGAAAATCACACTCATGTACATTCATGGGCAGAGTGATCCCTTTGTATTACCCTTAGAACCTGAAAAAAATTCATAAGTAATGGCAAGTAAATCAATTTGTGCAAGCTGAGGAAAGATAAATGTTGTTTTATAATATATGTGTGTAATGATGAATTTTTTGACATTGCACTGGACAGTCTATAGAAGATTTATTTTTAAAAGCTTCTTCTCTATTCAGTGTTGGTTTGTATGATGCTTTCTTACTGCTCGGTTACTGATTTAAATCTTCTTCAGAAATGGCACTTTTAATTAAAAATATTAAAACATTTGCTGGTGGAACACGTTTGTGGTGAAAAAAAGAGAAAAATCTTTTTGCTGCCTAAGACAACGAGACCAGTTGTTGGCACCGGGGAACTTGTTGAGCCGCAGTTGCACTGAGGGCAGGTTCTGTGGTTCTTTCTTTGCTAGAAATTCGGTGAGAGGCAGGCTGGAGGTACCCCGAGCACAGCGAGGTAGCGGGGACGTGCAGCCCACCAAAGACACGGGGTCAGCAAGCCCGGACAGCAGAGTGCTCCAGCCCTGGGGTGGGCAGGGGGGACAGGCTGCTATTTTGCCTTTCCCAGTCGATGTAACTGTTTCCAGGGACATCAGATTTTTCATGGGGTGGAGATTCCCTTTTCCTCAAGCAGCCTAAGTCTTTTATGGGATGTGAGAGCGCTGTGCCGCTTCAGAAAATGGAAATAGGGAGTCCTGTCAGGTACCATTATGGATAATATATGTGCCTATCTCTGTATCCCGGGGAGACTGCATGTTAAACTCCTGCTACAGCTAAGAAAGCGCTGGCAAAATCTTAGTTGAAATAGAATTCTGTCACGGCTTCGGTATGAGTTACCATTTCATCTGCTTTGACTTTTACCAGTAGTGGCTTCAGGAATCTTTACCAATCCTCCCTTCTTGGAGGGCAGTTTATCCTGATGGAGACATGCTGTGCCCTGAGGCATTTAAAAAAGCACGAAGAAAACTAGATTTCATTTGCATTTCTGTAATTGCTGTAATCATTCGTAAAGTAATTTCAAGTATCATTTTGCAGTATTTAAGTGGAAATAAATTTTTGCTATTATATTTAATGGGAAAAATTTCAAAGCAAGAAATGTGCTTCTACACTGGCCTCTTACTGGAAAAATTGAAGTCCAGGTACAGGTTAAAATTCGAAATTAAGAAAACGAGCAGCACACTCAACTCATTTAAACAGGACAAAATGCCGCTTTCAGATTTTTGTAGCGA